TAATTAAATTAAAAAATAAAAGAACAAAAAAAATAAAAATAAAATCTTAAACGTGTAGCACAAACAGAAAGGAATAGTTATGCAGAACTGTAAAAGTTTGAGGAATGAGGTGGTACAAAGGCAATAAATACATATGAGCTGCCCACCCCACCCCCCTTCGCTCTCTCCCCGTTTACTTTTTCTGCTTTTCAGAGCTACAACCACCCTTTCCATTGCCACTACTTTCGTTATCTTTCCCTACGTCATCTGACGTACTCATTGACATTGTGGGCGAGTATATATCAAGATTGTCCCCCCAACATGGAAATTTGGTATCTGATATTTCATGGAGACTTGAAGAAAATATACAAAAATCTGGAGACTTAGAAATTGATCTCATCAGATACCTTTTCCAAGATGTAGTTTCACGTGGGCAAGAGCTTAAGGTTTTCTTCTATGTCCCAAACCAGCTAATCATGTCGACTATTACTCCTACTCTCAATCCTAATGAAGCTGTTGCGCGCGATTGTAATCAACTTTTTTCCTCCTGATGATAGAAGCCATCCTACGTTTTAAGGAAAATTTAATTGATTGTGTAAAGGGTTCAATCCAAATTCTCCGGACAGAGCTTGGGTTTCTTATTACTTTTCTTGGCGATAAAGCAATGCATTTGCAGCCCACCAATAATATAGTGATTGATATCGAAGCTGTGGCTAATGATGTAGGAAGTTTCTTTTTTTCCGTCTTTTTCGCATATGTAATGACTAAAGTGAAAGATGCCTATAAAACAATAGCTCGTATCAGAGCTATGATGAGTGGGCTAAAACATGACTTGTATCCCGACCGTTTCTCCTTTAATAAAGATAAACCGTTGCAGACCACTGAAGATATCAAATCTCCGTTAGATTTCTTCATTTTCGCCAAGAATGATCGAGCCCTGGAGACTGGAATACTGAAATCTTGCACTTTCAGATTTGTTAACGAAGTTTGATCTCTTGAAAACAAAGATCGAGAATCATTGCATCACAGTCTCAAAGATGCCAAGTGATATGCCTCCAAAGATTGGTGTGGTTTCACTCTTCATTATTGATTCCGTCCTCGATGATCTCATGGATCTAATAAATAACAATTCTGACTCGATTGTTGCCGTGAATGATCAAACTGTAAC